CAGGTCGGCATCCTCATCCAGAAGAAGATCCTGGATAATACAAGTTTTTTTTTGACCGACCTGGCATTCCAAAGGAGCAGAGTGAGGTTCTGTGGTATGGTTGGTCTGCTCCCCATGCCATTCAGAGCAACGGAGGGAACTGAAGACGGGATAGCTTTCAAACAGCGATCCCGTCTTCTTTTGTAACATTGGTTCCCTCTATTCCAGCCGTACCTCCCTTTCCCCAACACTACTCCGATGGGCGCTCCCAATTCATTCCCGGCCTCCAATTAATTTCCAGCCATTAATAAATTACAGCGATTGGAGTCTGGATGGTGCTCAGTCTAATAATACAAGACTACCGGCTGAGGATGTAATCCGCCTCCAGCCCAATACTTATGCTAACCAACAGTCTCAATTGAATTCTACAATTCCTGGGATTATCGCAGGGGAGGCTAAACCCAAGCCTACGGTGCGAAGCAACTCCCTGCCGCCCAGCTGTCAAAATTAAGGGCAGACAGAGCCCTTAAGGGAACAGAGACCGTCCGAGAGCTTCTGCAGGCAGGAGGATCGCCACTACCGGCGCGTCAGTCCTATCCTAGACGCGGGACACGCTCCTGTCGGCTCTGGAACACAGCCTGGAGAGCGGGGCTGATGGAGCTAGCCTCCGCCGGCAATACCTCGCCCACACCCACAGGTGGAAGGTGGAAAGAGGGCTGGGGTGCAGTTCTTAAAGTCCCCCGCCGGGTCTGGCTCCTCCCGCGGCGCAGCGCAGCCTGGAGAGCGGGGCTGATGGAGCTAGCCTCCACCGGTGATACCTCGCCCACACCCACAAAATTCCAGCAAACATAACTATTTGTACTCATACTAAAGGCTGGATGGATGAGAGAGTAGAAGGGGGTCAGTGCTTCCAGGACAGATAAACTCTTGCCTTTCACCAGGGGATGGTTTTTACACACACACACACACACACACACACACACACAAGTTAATGTACAGTACTTCAATTGACCTGTGGATAAGTCAACTCAAGTTTTTGGGTCAATTTTTAACCTAAATTTCTTGATTTATACACGAGTATATACAGTAATTGCTAAATAGGTCAAATATGGTCAAATAAAGTAGATTTTAAAAGTTCCAGCATCTGGAATTCAGTCCAAAAGGAAGACCCCACACTCAAAAAAGGGTAAATGCTGTTCCTACCCACTACTGCCACCAATTGTCTAAAATATTACACACACGTGTGTGCATGCACACACATGTTCAAATGGGGAAACAGTAATTCCAGTTGTCTCAGGATATCTAGTTCTTTGCAGAGTATTTGAATTACTGCTGGTAGAGGTCTTTTTTCCTTCTATGGGGTGCACTTTCTTTTTGCTTCAAGGTACACTTGAAAGGCAAAAGTAGATTTTACCATATGCAGCATCCAGAGCACACTCCTATATTAAGCATGGTTGCAATACTGAGGCTGAGACTTGTTTGCTTTCTAACTATAGAGCCAGTAGTTTTTTTAAAAAACAGGAGTGAGCTGCATAACTACATCTTTATAGCATGAAGGAGTCAGTTCTTAAGGCTAGGTTACATGCAGCAACAGAAGTTTGTCTGTTCAAAGTATAAGCCAGCACAGAACTAGTTGGATGCTGTAGCTTGTTAATAGACTGTTAATCTAATCTAACCACACTCTTCTTGCTGGTTTGTATTTTATTATATGTTCTAAGAGCAAATGTATAATAAATAATCAAAAACATTAATGCATATATATGTGTTCCATCAAATTCAGCCAGTAAAAAGTAACATGGACAGTATGCTTGTATCATTTAATGCAACCATTTCAATCAGGGTCATATCAATGTAAGTTTAACACCAGGTTGATAACACTTTAAACAGAAGTGCTATGATTGGCAAACAGTACATGACTTGCTGTGGTAAATGTCCATTAATGAGTTTTCTGTATTCTTCTTCTTCTTCTTCTTCTTCTTCTTCTTCTTCTTCTTCTTCTTATTATTATTATTATTATTATTATTATTGGAAATGTAGGTCTTAGAATTTAAGCAAGACATAGGGCCTATGTTTATTGTGTCACCAGAGCTCTCTGACAGAGAAGGCTCAATGTCTCAGAAAAAAATACAATTCCCATGACTCCCTAGCACTGAGCCAGGGCAGTGCCTCAATTTAATGTGCACTATTTCTGGCAGTCTGCTTAGGCCCATAGTTTGTCTTGTGTGCAGGCCAAAAGGCAGTACTTTGATCTTTTCCATTGTGGAGGGCTTATATGATGAGATTGCAAAGATCCACTTTCATAGCCTCTTCAGTGGGAGTCTGTGCATACCCTGTGCTGATTTCATAACTTTGGTTTTTGTTTTGCTATTCCTGATAGTAGGGTTACCTTTTGTTCCGAACCAAGTTACCACAGGAAACTATATACTCTTATTCTCATAAGTGGTAACAGCTTTGCTACCTCTCTCCTCCCTCATCTTAGGCTATAAAACTGTTGATTTCTATGCAGAAATATACACTGTATATGAGAGGATGTGGCTCACTTTCCAAAGAATACTTACAGTTAGTGATGGAGCATGTATTGGTAAAAACTGGTCTTGGGATCGGAGTATTGCAGTTCAGCCATCAAATGTAATGTGATAAACATATGGATAAAGCTGGCTGCCTACAGTCTGTCTGAATCACTGAAGTTAGTTTCGTTATAAAGTAACAGTCTTGATTAATTCCACAGGATCCCCAGCAGAGCTGTCTCCGAGTACACTCTCTCCTGTCAATCACAGTTTAGGTAAGCTGTACCACTTTGGCCTCTGTGCTTGGATTGCATTATAGAAAAGGCTTTTTAGATGTTGTTGGATTCCCAGTGTCCCTGCTCAGCATGTCCAATGATGACTGATGAAAGAAATAACAATCCAGAAACATCCCATCCATTAACACAGCCTAAATTCTCGTATGTTGAGGTATGGGAGGCTCCCACCAGTACAGTATTTTGGATGTGGCCAAGGTTACAGATTCCAAAGAGAAGAGCAGGAAGAGCAATAATGTCGCTTTGATGTATCTCTGCCTGTGTTTTACAGATGACTGGAAGATGGAGTTAGCTATCACATTCCAGTGCTTGTCTGAACAGTAAATGCGTATTTTTACTGTTTTTCAGTCCTGCATTGGTGGACTGTGCAGTGGCCTGCCACTTTATTGTGAAAATGTAATAGATTTTCTGTTGCATAAATGCAAAAAGAGAGAATGCTCTGATTCCATTTCTTGTCCTAGTTGGAGGGAAATGAATTGGGGATGTGTGTTAAAGAATCAGCCTATACTGGTTGCCTTGTTAATGTCATATTGTGTATTTAATACTAGCAATGTCATTGCCAACATATATCCAAAAAGTTCCCTAAAATCTAAACCCAGCTGAGCCCATATCTAGTTATCCATCATTTTATACTAATGCTTTCTGTTTCTTGGGTTTGTATGTAAAATTATATCTTTTAAACTTGAGTCAGTTAACTTACATGGTGATTGTATAGTATGGGACTTTTCTGATTATGAGAAGCATGTGATGTAGAGGTGGCTGAACAGAAAGCGTTATGAAGACTGTGTCATATGGGTACAAAATGTACTCTACTGGATATCAGTTGGCTAAACAAACTGAGCACTACATTCAAGACTGTGTCTTCAGTTCTCCCCCTTCCAATAAAGTACTTGCAAGAGAATTGGAGGTCCCAATTGAATGATTATGAGGAGCTGAATGAAAAGAAATAGAATGTGGAAAGTATCTTGTGTATTGTCTATTCAAACAACAGTCAACTAAAGTTTAAAAATAATGAAAAAACTGCATCATTTATCATATGTACAGAGAGTTAGTTGTATGAGCACCATTTAAAAGCAAGAACCTGACAATCCTATCCAAAGGTTGTAACAATAACTAGCTAACTATTGCCAAAGATTTAGAAGCTTGGCACCTGTTAACAGAAG